GTGGGAGAGGGAGAAGCAGGCTTCCCGCCGAGCAGGGAGCCCGATGCGGGGCTCGATCCCAGGATCCTGGGATCATGACCTGAGCGGAAGGCAGACGCTTAATGACTGAGCCACCCAGGCGCCCCAGAACAACTAATTTCTTAAGGTCTGTATGTACAGTGTGCCCTTTTAAAAGTCATTCAGTTGTGTTTTCTTTAATAAATCATTGGGTTTGTAATTTATAAAATTAAGTCATTCAATCTACCTATAATAAAGAAATTGTAGTAATAACTTAAGTGATTGCAATGCGTTTATGTAAACATTAATAAAATATAAATGCTAAATTAAAAATAAAAGTTGTTTGTTTGTTTTAAATGTAAGCTCTACGCCCAACATGGAGCTTGAACTCACGACCCTGACACCAAGAGTTGTCACATGCTCTACCAAATGAGCCAGCCAGGCACCCTGAGGGAAATATGGCTGTCAAACTAATTATGTGAAAAATCAAAAGACCAGAAAATACTGATTAGAAGTATGTGACATTCTGCAACTAAATCCAGTCCACACAGCTTCTCCTTCCAAAAGAATTCCAATCAATAAATGTAGAAGGAAAGAGGGAAATAAAAAATTCACTGTTAGACAAATACCACAGTAAGATTTGTTGCAGACAACAGTCACTGATGGATGCACATATGAGTGGATGAAAGGTTGAGGAGAAACAGGATATTTACATAGTTTCAGAGTATCTCTGAGATGGATGTGAGGGCGATCTGGCTGCGACATCTGTCACCCCATTGATCACCAGGGTTGATTCGGCTGATCTGGCTGGCTAGGCAGGTGTCCCCTTCCTCCCTCACCGCTCCATGTGCGCCCCTCCCGAAGCTGCGCACTCAAAGAGGATGACCTTCCCCGATAGAGGAGGACCGTTCTTCGGTCAAGGGTATACGAGTAGCTGCGCTCCCCTGCTAGAACCTCCAAACAAGCTCTCAAAGTATCTCTAAGATACTTATTAACTTCAAAGGGAAAGATGGTAACTCCATAGGGAAAAATCCAGCAGAAACTTCCTTACCCAAGTGATCAAATTCAATGTCACCATTAATAAAACTTATGACATCATGAACTTGGATATGATGCTCTGAGAAGGGCACATCCCTTCTGTGGTATTATCAAAAATGCAGATTTTTGATTAATCATAAGAAAACCTCAGACTAACCCAAAATGAGGGACATTCTACAAACGACAAATAGTCTCCAATAGTGTCAAGATCATAATAGGCAAGGACAGGCTTAGGAACTGTCACCGATTGGAGGCAATTAAAGACACAGCTAAGTGCAATGTGGGATCCTGAATAGGACCCTGGAACAGAAAAAAGACATTAGTGGAAAAGTTGGTGAAATCTGAATCAGGTCTATAGTTTAGTTAATAGCACTGTACCAATGCAAATTTCCCAGTTTTGATCATTGTTCTATGGTTATAGAACTTGTTAATATTAGGGGAAGCTGGGTGAAGGATTTCTAGGAATTCTCTGTATGGTTTTCTGTAACTCTTCTGGAAGTCTAAAATTAGTTTGGAATTAAAAAATAAATCCAGGGGCACCTGGCTGGCTCACTCAATAGAGCATGTGACTTTTTTTTTTTAAGATTTATTTATTTATTTGACAGAGAGAGCACAAGCAGAGGGAACAGCAGAGGGAGAGGGAGAAGCAGGCTGAGCAGGGAGCCCGGTGTGGGGCTCGATCCCAAGACCCTGGGATCATGACCTGAGCCGAAGGCAGCCGCTTAACCAACTGAGCCACCCAGGCGCCCCGAACATGTGACTCTTGATCTCAGAGTTCTAAGTTCGAGCCCTACCTTGGGGTAGAGATTACTTAAAAAAATTTTTTTAAATAAAATCTTAAAAAAATAAATCCAGTCATAATCTACTAAATGGGAGAAGATATTTGCAAATGATGTATGTGATAAGGGATTACTATCCAATACATATATGAACTTATACAACTCAATACTAAAGAAACTAAAAATGGGCAGAGGACCTGAATAGACATTCTTCCAAAGAAGACATACAGATGGCCAACAGACACATGAAAAGATGCTCAACATCTCTCATCATCAGGGAAATGTAAATCAAAACCACCACCAAGATATCACCTCACACCTTTCAGAATGGCTAACATAAAAAACGCAAGAAACAACAAGTGTTGGTGAAGATGTGGAGAAAAAGGAACACCCATGCACTGTTGGTGGGAATGCAAACTGGTGCAGCCACTGTGGAAAACAGCATGGAGGTCCTCAAAAAATTAAAAATAGAATTACTATCTGATTCAGTAAATGAACTACTGGGTATTTCTCCAAAGAAAACAAAAACACGAATTCAAAAATATATGCACCCTTATGTTTATTGCAGCATTATTTAGAATAGCCAATATATGGAAGCAGCCAAGGGTCTGTTGATAGAAGGATGGATAAAGACGTGCTATATATACACAATGGAATATTACTCAGCCATCAAAAAGAATGAAATCTTGCCATTTGCAACAACATGGATGGACCCAGAGAGTATAGTGCTAAGTGAAAGAAGTCAGTCAGAGAAAGACAAATACCATATGATTTCACTCATATGTGGAATTTAAGAAACAAAACAAAACAAAAAGAGACCAAAAACCAGACTGTTAAATATAAAGAACTGTGGTTGCCAGAGGGGAGGTGGGTGGGGGGATGGGTGAAAAAAATCCAGTCTATGTTCTTGCGAAGGTTGTGTGGGTCTTTGGGAAACTTTAAATGTAAAGGTTATGTCTGCTTTCATCACACTCTATCATATAACTGGAGAGCTTTCAGAGATCAAATTTCCCCCACCCCAAACTCATTCCCCTCCCCCAGAGCTATTTTAAGGCCTCTGATTAAAGGAGCATTTTCCTTCCTCTTGAAGGATGACAGGATCAAACACCCTGCAACTTCCTACAGCAGCTCTTTACAGTGATATATCCCACTGCTGATTAATAAATACTTAAAAAGCAACTCCTATGCAACAGACCCTATGTTCAACCCTGGGGATACAAAGAATATAAAATATTGTTCCTTTTTTCAGAGATCTTAGGGTCTCATGGCAGGGGGATGAGGGTGGTGGGTGGACCCAGATATGTACTCATGAACATGCACTAAGATATATCAAGTATGCTTAGGTTTCAGGTACAGGACATGGGAGAGGTTAAAGAGAAAGCACCCTGGCTTCCAGCTGGGTCAACTCCATCTGGGCTGAGGATGGGCATAAGCAAAGTCTTCACAAAAGATGGAGCTTGAGAGAACAAGAAAAGTAGGTGTTTTGTAAGGGAACATGTTCTAGCAGTCCAAGGAGCAGAAACAAAGGCACAGGGGCTTCAACATGGGAGGGAGGGAAAGGTGGGGAGCTTGGAACTGGAGAGAGAGAACCCCAGAGTTCTGTTTGTGGAGGGCCTCACAAGGATTTTGAAAAACATAGGCTTCGACTGAATCCTGTACCAAAGGAGACAAAAGTGCTGCAAAGGACATCCCTGGGCCAATGGAAAGGATTGGAATATAGATGGTAGATTAGGTAAAAGTATCGCATCTGTATTACATTTACTGAA